CACACACACACACACACACACACACACACACACACACACACATTCTGAACCTTCTTTTTCAACACATTCTGAGAGTTTATCAGACCTCCACCTGAGGTGAGATGCAAGGGTCCCTTCGGGGATCACCCACCCACACATAACAGAGCCACCCTTACTCACCAGGCTGCATGCTCTCTGTGGCAGCCTAGCAGCACTGACCACACGGCCAGCACCTCCACTTTGGAGTGAATCAGAGAACAGGCTGCCAGGAAGGGACCCCAGAAATCACCTGAATTCTTTGCATTTCATTTGGAAAAAGGCCAGAGGTCATGAGTCATGAAAAGGACATGGGCCTGTGCCCTGCTAGGAGGCACGGGTGGAGAAGACAGTGGTCTGGGAGGTAGATAAGGCCCTACCCTGGAGCTTATGACTTCACTAGACTTTCTGGTTCCAAGCAAGTGTCTCTGGCTGAGAAAGACATGGAGAGTGATGTGTGTGGAAGGGGCTAACAGGAAAGTGTGCTGGGCTTAAGAGGAGGGGGGGGTTCATTCCAGCAGGCCACTGTGAGATTTCCCTCCATTGAAATCTGAGCCCTTGTGATTCTGGGCCTTTCTCTGTGAGCCCAATAGAGCCAGCTGTGTTGACCCTGGGTCTCTGTGCAGCCATTGCAGGGTCTGCTCTTTGGGGCATTTGTGCTGATCTGGGAAATGCTCTTCAGTTCTGCTGGAACTAGAGCCTCAGCTGTAGGATCTGACCCTTGGGGGATCAGATCAAAGATTAAAGTGCTCCCAAACAGAGTAGCACAGAGGACCACTCTGTGGCTGAGGAGAGGGCAAGACAAGACAACTTAGGGAGTCATGGGGAGGACACAGCTGGGTCCGGGTACCCTCCTAACGTCTTGCTGGTGCTGCTTCTATGGGGGATGTGGTCTCACCCAGGCTGTGGGCACACTGGGAGTAGCGGCCCTAAAAATAACCGCTAATTTAGGTCCCTTCTCAAAGGAGTTTTGCTATGATGTGTTGATTAGAGTGGTATTTTATGATCTTTACATAATGTGGCTTCCCTGGACCTTATGCTTCCTCAGTTCCCCCACAGCACCTCCCCTGTCACAGTGGGGTTACTACGTGGCTGGAATCTGGGTGACTCATCCAGGTTGGAGGTTGTACATCAAGGTGGGCAAGCTGCTTTTGAGCCCCAGCCCAGATACATCTGCCCTGAATTCTAGGGTTTGTCCTCCTGCCTAACAAAGCCTCCGAAGCCCAGATGGAGACATTGTGATTCTGGGTCCCTGGTTTTCAGAAACTGGGTTCTAGAACCTACTTTTTTCATCCATCCCCTCCCTAAAAATAAAGGAGCTCCTGACAAGACCCAGTTTAGTC